ACCAGCCCTCCACGTCCTTGAGGCTACATCTCAACATCTACAAGAGGGCAACAATAAATCACATGCGTCAGTTTACTTCCTTTTTTTCCACAGACGTCAAGTCAGATATCTTAAAATCACAAAGACAGACACACTGTATTATTCTGTCTTTTCTCTCTCTCTCTCTCTCTTACCACACACACACACACCATAGCCTTAGGTACTGATGAGAAGGAGCAGGAAGAAAGCTTTCATGTGATTATTTATCCAGCCTGAGTTTGGAAACATACCATTGAAAGGTCATCTGGAGGTGTCATATCCTTATAGATGAATAAAGACTAATCTAAGACAACAAATAAAATAGTACCTGAAATAACAGTTAAAAGTAATTGTAAAAAGAAAAGAAAAAAGACAAATAAAAGTAACAGATGAAAACAGTTATGTTAAAAAACATTTAGCCCCAACAGGGTTCTTACAGCACAGACCCTGTCACCCTGTAAGAAGACACTTTCAGATTAAACAATAGAATGTCAGTGCTGTTATTAGAGCTGTTTCTGATTTGAGTTCATTCAACTGCAGGAAATAATTGGACAGCATGTTTAATTAAGGCAAGACATAATAGATAATGAATCAGAGGTAGTAGGATATTGTATATTTCACATAACAATTGAAATCATGTCTGTGGGACCCCACAAAAGGGAGGAGCACGAGGGGAAGAGGTGTGTTCAAGAATAACAGAGAAGGATCTGCTGGACAGATATGTGATGAACCAATTCAGATCTACAGTAGTGCCAATGACACTTCAGACAGATCATTATTACACCGTGGCCCAGAGTGTGAAAGGCTGAGCTGAGGTCAAAGGAACTAAAATGAGGCCTGCATTAGCGGCACGGGAACCCTGACCGAGGCAGTCACTGAGCTGCACATGCAAATCAATTACAATTTGGTGGAATGGAAATTTTTACTCCCTCATATCAGTCCATATCGGTCGGGCTTGAACTTGTACAAAATGTTCTTAACTTGCTCCTTTGTCAGGTGGATCAGCCCTTCACATATCAAACTGACAGACCACTTCGAATACAGCAAGAGCAGACAGCTTCCCTATTTCCTATTACCTGTAAAGGGTCTGGATAATACCTGTTTGCCTTTCAACTACACGTCAAATGAAAATTGCACCTACACACACAAACTACACTTCACTTGGAGTTGAGTACTTTTGTTTAAGTTTAAGAACCTTGCCACCGAGTGTGATTGTGCCCAGTCAGTGCAGTTGGTGTGCAGCATGCCTCGTGTGTCTGAAAGATAATTTCACCCTAAAAAAGAACACAGATGTTATTTCTGTGATGTTGAATTGGCAGATGTGTTAAATGTTAATTGAAGCGCCATTCTAATGCTAACTACTGTGCCATGTCAGCGGTTAACCCGGTTGACTAATGTTGAGCAACAACAAGTTGTAAACCTAATTGTCTGTGTCTGACAGAATAAGTTAAACGTCTAGGATGCAGCATTATCATTTTATAGTGACACATAAACTTGTGGCAAAGGTTTCCTTTACACAAGCCCCATACCCAATTATAAAGCATCCTGGACTTGTACAGCTAGTATGCACTTCACATATAAAGTGCCAAATATTCTTGCATAGACAGAAATTAAATTAGTAGAAACAATGCCTTTTTTTTTTATTCCTGTCTAGCAACTATTAATTCTACCTTTCCTTAAAATCATTGCTACATCATAGCTACGTAAACTAAGGCTAGCTTTATGAGTTTGTTGAGTTCTAATCTCTGGATAGATTTTCCAGCTGAAGTTTGCAGAGGGTTTTGAAATACACACTTGATGAAACTACATAAGTATTACTGAGTTTGATAAGGGACAATGTAAGCTTAGACTGCAATAAACTTACAGTAATTTTGTTTTTGCACTTTAAGTTTTATATATGCAAAAACTAAGACTCCATCCCCCAAACTATTTAAAGGTCAAACTTGTACTCCAGCCCTATACACATTGCTGGCATGTGGATGGAGAAATCCAAACCTATGCCTATCTGCAGTTGCCAAACTGAGACTGGACAACTGATGTTTGGAGGAGGGATTTAGAAAATGTTGAATTAAATTATGGTGCTTTCTGAACATTAGGTACTGAAGCCAGATGTGCTGTACTACTGGAGAGCAATAGTTTTGTGGGAGTTTGCAGAAAACATGTTAAAGTTTGAAACATGCTGCATTTATTTTTATTTTATTATCTTTAGGCTACAACAATACATCTGTCATAAAAATAACACTTTCTAGCTGTTTTTGTTGTTCTACTCTCCTTTGAAACCTTTATCCTGATGTGAAAGTACCGTCACACAGTAGCAATGTGGATGCAATTATGACTCTAGGGTCAGTTTGTCTCCTTAAGGTTTAGGTTAGAGCATTTTATGATTACAGACTCTGCTGTGTGTTTAAGGCCAGTGCGTTTGTGATTCTGGGGTTGCCTCTGCCTTTATGTAAAACTGAGCCGAACGCTGCAATCTGAACCCAGTGCAAGCGCTGTTTGAGCTATTATCGTGTTGTTTACTATAAAGTCTTACTGCCTCTGTAGTAGCTATCTCCTCACCACTGATCACAGTTTCTTTAAAACTTTCTTTTCAACACGCAATTACAGAGGAACCATGTTTTTCTTTTTCTAAAGTGCATACTTTTTATTCACTTTCTGTTACCCTTACACACATTATGAACAAAACATGCTGTGATGACTAAAACAATACGTTGCTTTCTTTTACACAATTATTACAACATACCATCTAAATGATTTAAATCTGCAGCAAGAGTTTCTAACATTTAATTTTTCATGAGTGCCCATAAACATATGTCAAAACATAAATGTATATACAGTACGTACAAATACCTTATACACGTGTCTACATCAGTAAGAGCAATATTTACATAAGCACCTTTACACAGACTTTAAGTCTTAGTAAAGCAGGATTTCTTTTTGCAGCTCTACATGCATCATAATCTTCCAGCACTACATGTTCTGCAACAGTAACCTGATTTTTTTTCTTTTTTTTAAAAATTTAACTGTAATGTTTTGTTTCCTGTAAACTATCATTGATCCTTGTTAGCTTTGGCTCTGTGGCAAATAGGAGGGTTTTTCTTTTCTTTTGCTGTACTCTTCACTTGTTCATTCCAAACAGATGAGTCAAGTGGTTCCATTTATCACACCTTCGTTGTCTCGTGCACCTCTCCGCTGATTCATTCCCCTAGTTAAAGGAAACGATAGTCACCCTGACAGGTGGAGTCGAACAAGGAAACAGCAGAAGATTTTTGACATTAATCCAAATTGAAAGTGCTGCAGTTTAATGACAAACCTGATTAATCTCTTGTTGATTTTCATGTTTACAAATCTATGCAGCCACATACCATGAAAAAAACTAAACTAAAAAATAACTACTTAAATTGTTCATACCTGGATGCCTGTGTCTCATCTACCTAACAATTATAGAAATCCCTGCCAATCTGTATGTGGCTGGCATATCTCAATATGATCTTATTGGCTCCACACTTGGCAAATCTATTGTTTAGGGCCCAAGGAAGTACTGTGTTAAATTTGGTGCAATCTGGACACGGGATACATTCAATATTAATAAACTTTGAATAAGCAGGTGAACAGCTCTTTGTGCAGCAGAGGTGGTGCAGCTTTCTAGTTCTGAGGACTGAGTCCTGTTGTCAGCATCACCACAGGCCAAACCAACAGCTCAGTGCAACCAGGCAGGTTTAGAAGTGGCATTAAACTAGTTTTAAATTTGAATTAGTGCGTGGGTCAAATTTTGTGTGTCCATGGATATAACCATCATTGTCACTAGCGTGGAATGTTTTTAACTGTGCATGTGTGCTGCATGTGTGTGTGCGTGTATGTGAGTTTGTGTGTGTGTATGTGTGTGTGTGTTCCTATCTGTGTGTGCTGCATGTGTGTGTGCGTGTATGTGAGTTTGTGTGTGTGTATGTGTTGATAGGGGCTGCAGCAGCGGCATCAGCATCTGTCAGTGATCTGGGTGGCCTTAGGTTCCTGTAGGTAATTTAATCTTAACGTTTAGAATGGGTGATGACTGATAAACAGACACAAACACATGTACATGTGTACACACATGCATTGCCTTGAGGAACATTACAGGACAGGATTTACGCGATGTGGGATGTACCAGTGTTTATGTGTGCGCGTGTGTGTGCCACTGACAGAGGGTGGGGAGGTCCTGCAATGCTGGTCGTGCTCTGGCAGGATACTTTGTGTCTGTGCTTGTTTATGCATCCAAATGTACCATAAAAAAATATTTTACAAATGCCCTGTATGAGAATTTCTCTGTGCATAGTGTAGTTTTTTTCTTACATCAGGGACCACAGTGAACCTTTAGGTGAACAAGCCCAACTTGTGTAGAAATTACTTCCATTTATTCATTCATGTTGTTTTCTTAAATATAATAAAAATAAAACAGTGTGGCTTTTCCATATCCATGTGGTTCCACTATCCAGCATTGAACCATAATATTTAAAATATGTAAATACTGTAATGCTCCGATGCCTAATGTGCCACTACATGTGGGTCAAGCTCAGGGTCATTCCCTGCTGCCAAAATATGAATAATGACAATCACTTCTGTTTGGGTAATACCTGCATCCATCTGTGTTATTTGATATCAGTGTGTTTGACAAACTGGCTCGGAGTTGGACCACCTGGCTTTTGAAATGTGGGACCAATTTCTTCAGGGCATTGTGTGTCTTTCAGTTCACAGTGGAACAGTCGCTTGCTTAGAAGAACAAGCAAATGAAAAAAAAAAGAAAGCCGGCACTGTATGAAATATGAGATGCACCTTGCAACACACAGTACTTGTATATATTAAACTTCAAATGCAGTGATCAAGAAAGTTATTAATCCTTCTCATTTTCTTCCCTCCCTCCCTCCTTTGACTCCCTCGCCTCTGCTCATTCCCTCGCTTCATCCCACTCTTTCTTTTTTGTCTGTCTCTGTCTCTGATTTTCGCAGGTGGTGCTTGACCACATGAGAAGGAAATGCAAGTGCCACGGCACGTCGGGCAGCTGCCAGCTAAAGACCTGCTGGCAAGTCACCCCGGAGTTCCGTGTGGTGGGCTCAATCCTCAAAGAGCGCTTCCACATCGCCACACTTATCAAAGCGCACAACCGGAACACAGGGCAGCTCGACCACTCCCACCACAACAACCACCACAACCACCATAACCATCACAGCCACCACAACCACCACCACCATCATCAGAACAACCACCATCACCACCACACACATCGGCGGCGGCCGAGCATCAACGAGCTGGTCTACTTTGAGAAGTCGCCGGACTTCTGTGAGCGGGACCTGGGGTCGGACTCGGCCGGCACACAGGGCCGGATCTGCAACAAGACCAGTCCCGGCATGGACAACTGCGAGAGTCTGTGCTGCGGCAGAGGACACAATATCCTGCAGCAGACGCGGAGCGAACGCTGCAACTGCAAGTTTCACTGGTGTTGCTACGTGGTCTGCGAAGAGTGCAGGATAACAGAGTGGGTCAGTGTCTGTAAATGAAGAAATACAAGTCAAAAAGACTACACAAAGAAAACAAAGAAAAAGAGACATTTTAAAACCGAGACTTTTCATTTGAAAGGGGAATATGACTGTAATATTTGTACCCTGTTTTTTTGCGGTGGACTGCTGTTTTCCAGAAGAGCAAAGACAGTGCATGTGAAGCAGTTGAGCCAGCAGAAAGAAAGATGTGCACGTTGGTGTGCACACGCAGGGTATGTGTAAAGCTGCCACATCTCAGAGAGCTTGGACGTTCACTGCCTTCCTCATGAGACAAAGGAACACAATTCTATCAGATGAATATCTGAAAACTCCCGACATGAGATCTGAGCTCTGAAAAAATCAAACTCTTGATGTTGACTGACATTCAGCTGCAGGAGATTCAGGTGGGCAAAGAGGAAGTCGAGCGTAAGCAGTAGATTGCATGCAGAAAGAAAATAATATTGCTTCATAGCACCAGAGATATTTAAGGTGAGCGGCTGATGTCTTCAGCCCATGAAAGTTCAAATACGGGGGAGGGCATCTAAAAGGTTTTCAACTACATCACAACTCAAACAGTAGTCCCTCCATTGTCTATATAATAACTTAGAGCATAAACATACAGCATTTGTTGTCTCCATATACAACATACAGGGACAAACATAGACCTGAACACACAAGGTATCACCATGCACAGGATTTGACATAGCACAACACACTTGGAGCACTTAAGGATTTAGTGCCTTGTTCAAAGGCAGTAACAGTTTCGGTGTTTTATAGCAGATACCATGTTATATAGATGACATCAGGGTTTTTTGTCTGGCTCAGGTATATCAGTCATAAATTTAACCCTGCTAAATATAATGGCATTACACAATAAATACAGCTTGGTGGAAAAGGCAGAAATTAGAGATTCAAGTCCCAGGGCAAACTGGAGTATTAAGTGTGAATGTTGATTCAGCATCCATAAAATTTGAAGTTTGCAATAAAAGAGCAAAACTTTAATAATGATTGATGACCACAGTGGAAAGGAGGACATTGCAGCAATGATGAAAAATTGATCTGGAACTCACCTCCTGGGACTCCTCATATGAGACCCTGACATCTGAAAGAATTTCCTTTCCTATATGGAAGATGTTTTGATAACATTCACTTTCAGTAGACGAAAACAAGCACTATATTCCTATACACTATGAGAATCCATCTAAATATCAACCTATTGTGACCCAATCTCATACATTTGTTTTCAGACCTACCTTAAACACAGACACATTGTCCTGCATTAACATTTATCCAAAATGCACCATGTGTAGTGTGTGTCTGTGTGTGGTGTGTAATGTAAGAGGCCTGTCAGAGTACACCGAGTGCACAGCTGACAATTCATTTAACAAATACAGCTTTCATCTTGAGCACGATCTGAACAGCATTGTAAATAAAACATATTGATGCTGCACAAATATGGTCAATACATTTGTAGTGCCTCAGGAAACTGAGTGCACGTGCTTCAGTTCCTCGCACTGTTAACATCCAAAGTGTTGTGATGCAATGTGCTGTGTGTGACACTGAAAGCTCCCTGTATTATATCTACACTCACCTCCTTCACATTTCTTCAACGTGCACGACGGAGATGTCAACTTCAAGGTATATAAATAAGAATAAGTTGATACGGATGTCTGCCTGTGCACATGTTGAAGATCATATTTGATCTCAAGTAACTTGTATGAGTGAGGTCTCCTTATCAGTGTAATTTATTTCAAGCAGATGTGTTTTAAGTGTTATAAGCAGAGGGATGATGCTTCCAGTGCAACAGAGTATTTTGATTCTGATAAGTAGTTTGCACATACAGAACTGTCCAGGAAAACTCTGGGAAAATATCTATTATATGCATTTTTTTTCATGTCATAAATGTAATGTATGTTTTTATTTTTATGTTTTAATACTGTTATTATCTAAGTTATTTTATTTTTGTGGATAACTTAATATTTGTAAGACAATAAAAGAAAAGACCATAATATTGAAAAGGGGCTTTAATGTGATGAATAATAAAATACATGAAACCAGTGGATTTGGTAAGAGAACCGTTTCATGTTTATTTTGTCGTAAATCGGCTTCCATCAGCAGAGTGATGATGATGAATTCCTCAGTCAGTGTGTGATACCATGTATTTATATTAAGGTTACTTCAGGGGTCATTAGTTCATCTCGGAGGCATTATTAATGGTCACAGAACAAACCTAAAACAAGTCATAGTGCGATAAGTGATGATAAGTGTAAACAGACTACAGCATGCAGTGGTTTGTTCTTCTTTGAGAGAAAATACACGGTTCAGTTTGTTTACTACCGTGTCGATATCGGACTCAACAGATTTCTCCATATTTCTCTGGGCTACTGGGTGCCCCCCCCGACAGGCAAAATATAGACAAATGGCAAACTAAATTTCCAAAACCTCCAAAGCACCGTTCCCATAATGCTTGAGGGGATGTAAAACAGGTATAATGAGGCCATGAAGTCAACTGTGGGTTATAACCTGAGCAATAACTTATTTTTTTAAATCCAGATTTCGTAAAATGTTCCTAAAATCTTCCTGAATTAGCTATGTACGATTATGGTTTGGAGTTCAGCCACAGTGACACATATCCCTGGATTAAACTGATACAGAAGAGAAATGACTTGAAAATGTGATGATTCTCAGGTAAATCGCTTAGTTAGAAGGTTGTGGTTATGTCTATGACTTTTAAGTTGAGTTTTTTCATGTTTATTCATGATAGAAACCAGAGATAATGAAATCCAGTGTCTAAGTCACACTGGTGATAAAAGTGTTTCGGTTATGACTAAGTTGTGACTGGGACAGAGTTTAACTTGAGTCCAAAGCAAGTTGCGCAAATCACCTCACACCTCATCTGTGCCTCACCAGTCTCCCTCCTTGCCTTCCCGTAACCTCCTGTGAAGGTACACCTCACAGTTTGAAAATCTCTGCTACAATGCAACACAACAGTTCATTTTGGACTTCCCTGTCTAATAGACTCTGATTAATGGATGCTTTCTATTCCAAATGTGTATCCTCCAAGCCCAGACCAAGAGAGTGATGACAACCTTCGTTACTTAACATACAGATACAGTATATAGTATATTATATGCATTTCATAGGCTACTGTATGTATCCCAAAATCCTAAACTGTGCAAATTTGGAATATACATTATTTTTTAACCTGTTTTCCTTATGTATGTTGTTATGATCTAAAAAATTTAAAAGGAATAGAGCCTTTATAAGATACAGGTATATACTGGGTCACACATATACATAAAATGTATGAAGGTCTTTTAAACCTCAGCTAATATATGTCAAGAATATATATACTGAGAAGAATTTATTCAAGATTTTATTGGATTGGAAAACCCTTCAAAAAAGAACAATCATAGAAATAGTAATAACTTTCTTTGAGCAATCTTAAGACAGACCAGGAGCGTTCAAACCCCTCTGCCACTAGTTGCTGCTTGCGTGCAGAGAGAAATCCGGCTGAGTGTCCTGACTCACTTATGTATTCTGTGCCCTGAGGGAAGTTATGAAGTCACCAAGTCAAGTGTAAGAATGCAAGAGATACACTTTCAAAGCAAACAGATGTGCAGTAAAAAAGGTGCTATTTCAGAGAAATGTGTTTCTATTCTTATCCGAACATACTGTGAACATTCAGGGAGGGTGGGTAGAAAAAAAAGAGCTTTCTTTTTCCCACTCCGGCCTCTCTCCCCCCTCTCTGCTGGAACCATCTGTACGTTGAGTTCAGCATGCACGGTGCATCTTTCAGTGCGCTGATTTAAGTGAACACTCTCTTCATCTCCCTCTCTACAGGTATAAATAGTTTATGTGTGGACGCGTACTGACGGCGACAACACACCATGTGTGAAACGTTATGTGTGTGTTTGTTTATGCGAGAATGTGTGTTTCTCTTTGTGGGGGTGCACACATTTAAGTGACAGGGTGAGTTCATGTATTCTCACATTATGTATTGACAATGGACCCAAGTCAAGGTTGAGTAACGTCTGCTCAGACATCCCTGCTGGGCTCGTTGTCTGCAGCCAAATCAAAGTTCAGCTGCTCGATTGCAGAGAAGTAAAAAAGTACGGACATAAATTAATGAAAACGCTCGGCTCTCTTTCCTGCTTTAATGATTTCTCCTCACGTGGAAAGAAACAAATGCCAGGGGATCATATAACTCATCAGCGCCTCAACAGATATCATGATCCTTGATAAATACTTTTTTAATATAAGATTACTCAAAAGAAAACAAAAAACGTTAATCTTCATGAGAGTAGCTCATGCCTGCAATGTCAGGCCTGGACTTGTGCGTTTAGTTCATTTGAACAGTGGCTGTTATGTTGATAGAGAGCAGGTTCCAAAGTGACTCCAGATATGACCTGAAACAATATTATGCTGCTGATTGAGATTTATTGTGTTGGGATCCTTTTTGCATGAACTTGCAAGTCTTGTTAAACATTCTGTAATGATTTCATGGACAAGGCTGTTTTGCAGTGACGCCTCAATGGACATTCACTGTGCACATAAATAACACTCAGTCACAAGTGTTTTGACATTTCAAACCACCGCATTACCTTGCAAATCGATGTTGAAATGTATTTGGGACCCAGACAAGTTTCGTTCTTGATGCTGCATACCAAATTGTCAACAATTCATTAATCTTAACCTGGGGGACTCTGAGATGTCTGATAATGAACATTTTAATTGCTCGGTTATCCTCGCTGTAAACAAACTAATTAAAGGTATCACTGTTGCATATTGCTAGAGGCAAGCAGCACTGAATCTCTATTCAGAACACAGGTGGACTGGTATAGGAAAACCTACTAAATTTTGGTCAGGATCCTGGTCAGGGCAGATCCAGAATTCATTTTTTTAACAATCTAATCTTTGAAATACCGAGAATTGTGTTTTGTTGCATTTTAACTTTCTAGTATTATGTTAATCTTTGGGCCAAAAGGAAACGGGCCTGGTGCTCCTGGTGAGCTACTCACAGCTAAATATTTTTGTCATTTCTAGGAATATGTATTTGTTTTAACAGTACAGAGTATATATCCACACTTTTGCATACTTTATTTGTGTATGACATGTGCATTTGTTTGGGTGTGTCTGTACATTTTGTGAATTAAAAACACCAGCAAATCTAGTGGCTGTCCTTCTTGACGTTTAAACTCTGAGGCCTTGAGCTGTGTCATCACTTACCTGAGCCGATTAGGTAAGTTTGTTTAAACACAACCCAAAGACCAAACAAAAAGACTAACTAGGTGCATTGCTGAAGGGGATTAAACAAATGCTCTCTTTGAAGGAATAAGGTGCAGAGACATAAAGATAGAAAGATAAATAAAGTTAAAGCCAAGCAACGTTTACAGGTGACTAAGAAAAACAGTACCATATCACGGATGGAAAGAAAGATATGTAGGAAACTAAAGATAATGAGACAGACTAGCTGCCAGCTGCTACAAGCTTGATGAGAAATAAATGTTCTCCTTGCCTTTTCCCTCAAGGGTGGGTTGAAAAGAACATTTGTGTGGACCAGTTGCTACAAGTAAACTCAGGAGGATAATATTGAATAGTGTATCATCACAGTAATCCACATTTGCTGAGTGTGCATGCCACATGTGAATTGAGGCTACCTTTTAAATGTTGCAGAAAGAGAAAAAGAAAACAAACACAGAAACACATAGAGAGAAGAAGAGGCTGATAGCCAATGACAAAACAAAACCTTGAGGGAGAAAGAAGAAACAAAATCAGTCCGCAATCAACAGGAGAAAGGAGGTTATGTATTCTTTGCCGTTTGCTGTCTGTCTATCAGCAGCATTTCTCAAAAACTACTGAACCAAATTCCATGAAACATCGCCACTGCCTACCACTCTCCAGAAATGAAGCCAGAATATCCTGGATACGATCTCTCCCATCAGGCACATTTGGTGCCAAAGTCTGCGCAGAAGTGATTGACTATTCAGTTTGATCAATGTCCCATCCACTAACACGGAGGAGGAGGGATTTATGACCTATACTGCAGCCAGCCATCAGGTGGCGATCAAGATTCTGTGCTTCATTTTTCGGGAGCAGTCTTGTCATCCATCTTTTTTATACAGTCTGTGTGCATGAAAGAAAGAACCCATTCATTTAAAAGAGGATCTTAATTAAAGGGTGGATCCACTTTCTTCAACATGACAAGATAAGACACTAGCCAAGTTATGAGGGCATTAGCTAGTGGGTTTTTATCTATTGCATGACTCACTCTTAATAGATAGCTCATGACCAGCCACTCCAACTAGAACTGCAGTTGCTGACTACCATTTTAGATATTCCACATCAGCATAGATGCCCTAGTTGAGTCTAGATCAGAGAAGACCACACAAGTGGATACTTTAATCCAATTAGCTGAAGCAGACCAACCCTCTCAGGTTAAATCAGTTTGAAATGATTCATTGTTGACTGATTTGTTCACTGGTCTCAAATTAAGTTGAAGTACATTCTCCAGAAGATTGCGGACTACAGTACATGCTCTGTATTTTTTGTAGTTGCAAATATGCCACCTAAAACTCTAAAAAGAAAGCTTTTTAAAGTTCCTACATTTCTGACCTAAAGATAGGTCTCTCCTTTGGATAACTAATTCATCATTCATATACCTTGTAAAATTGCTCTATTCCAAATTAAAATTTAATGTGACAGGAACAGGGAACATGTAAGGCACATCCACATTATCTCATAGGGCCTCTCTTGTATAAAGTCCTTTCAGCTTCTTTACAAATACTTGATCTGCGCTAACACAGCAGTTTGATCTGTGTTAATTATTCATGCTCTCCTCCACCAGGGAAGGATCAAAGAGGAAACAGGGATCATTTTTTGTGGGCCTCCACACATTCATTATTGAGAGCAGAGGCCAACAAGTACATGCTT